CTTGACTTCCAGTAACCCCTACCCCATCACCCCCCCTTGACTTCTAGTAACCCCTTGACTTCTAGTAACCCCTTGACTTCTAGTAACCCCTATCCTCCCTTTTCCCCCTTGACTTCTAGTAACCCCTATCCTCCCTTTTCCCCCTTGACTTCTAGTAACCCTAGCCCCCTCTTTCCCCCTTGAATTAGTGTAAGCCTTGAGCACAACATCTTGTTTTTGTCCAGATGTCTTTATTGCAAAAGAGTTTGAGCTGCCATGAAGTCTATTCTGCTGACCACAACGTCCTGTTTTTCAACAGGTGTCCACACATGCCATCTGTCTGTTCACCCTCCTTCTCCTCATCCCCTTCGATTTACCGTAACCCTAGCCCCCTCTTTCCTCTCGAATAACTGTAAACTATGGTCACAGCAACTTGTTTTTTGTCCAGATGTTTTAATTGCAAAAGAGTTTCAGGTGCCATCAAGTCTATTGTGCTGACCACAACTTCCTGTTTTCAGCAGGTGTCCACACATGCCATCTGTCGCTCACCCTCCCTCTCAGGGGTTCGTGACTTCCTGCCTGATGGTGAAACTTATCGTCCAATCAGTGGTTAGGGTTAAACTTTAGACCCACCCCTCGACCAATCAGATCATGTTTAAAGCATTAATTCCCGCCCCTCTTCGGTTCTCGAAGCGTTTAAAAGAACGTGTCTCTTTCATTCAGTACAACCATCGGCGAGAAGGCACCTGCAGCGTTCCTGACCCGTCACTACTTCCATCAGCGCGGACAAGACCCCCGGCATGACCGCCCCTGCAGCTGAAGTAAATTTTAAAAGGTTCGTATTTATTTATTTATTTAATTCTGTTTAAAGTATATATATATTTAAATGTACTCTGTCTGTCAACAGCGAGAAGAACCGCCACTCTGCTCCAACATCAGCCAAACTTAAAGGTATGTAAATGTGTTTTTATTTTGTTTAATTCAGTTTAATGTAATTTTTATAAATGTATTTTTAATTGTACT